CAACTCCCAAATGACAAAACAACCCCGCCCTCCAAACCCTACCAATATTCAAATTTGGCGTATCGGGTATTTCTGCCAAATTTGGTCAAGTGAATGAAAATACTTCCTGCATATCAAATATTTACATTATGATTCATAACAGTAGCAAAATTACAGATAGGAAGTAGCAACAAAAATAATTTTATGATTGGGGTTCACCACAACATGAGGAACTTATTAAGGGGTCATGGCATTAAGAAGGTTGAGAAACACTTGGATACATGATCTATAGAGCTCATGAAACCTCAACTTCTGCATGTCAACAGATGGAGAAAGAAACAGGGAGCGACTCTATACCATCTTGTGATGCATATTCCAGATGCCATGGAAACCCAATAGGTTACCCTAAGCAAGTCACTTTCAGTCCCAGAGGCAGACAAAAGCAATCCCTTCTGAACAATATTTCCAAGAAAACTACATGAGTAGGATAGCCTTAAATCAGTTATGACTTGAAAGTATACAGTACACAAATTTCAGAAGGAACTAAAACTCACTCCAACCCCAAGGAGCAGAGCACTACAGAGTGAGACCACTTTCATTTAAAGAAAGTAGAAAAGAATACATCCTCATGATATTTAAGTGATGGGGAGGTAAAAAATATGTATCTGTAGGCTCTATATGGATTGGCTCTAATTTTGTCCAAAACACCCACTAGACTAACATCAACATCACATCTGAGCACAAAGAACCACCAGCAAATAATGCTTTGATAGGTCTAACAGTCAGAAGTTTGATATCGTTATATTCTTAAGAGTAGCAACATCCTGCACTTTCTGAACTACTGGAGGTGGTGCTAAAAATTAACTGCTGATTGGTTTGTTTATTAACATACAGAAATCAGTTTACTCAGGAAAGTTTCATCACATCTGACTCTAGCTTATTATGTTTGAGTAACCAATACATATAATTCAATTTCTAAACTGTCAATGTTGTAATGAACTTGAGATATATTACACCATTATTATTGAAATAATACTAAATGTTTCAGAGCTGAGAAAATGTTATTTGGATGGCTGTATCATGTTTCAACATGAATTGTAAAGTATTTACTGTAAAGATGCTTCAACAGGTGCATCACTACGAATCACATTGGACACACAGGTGGAAAAGCAACATATAACATTATACTGAGTGGGTGCTTGTGTCCCAATTAACTTTCCCCCGATACCTAACTCTCAGGATGTGCTGAAATTAGTTTCATAAAACCATGACAGCTAAAAGAAAAGGTGGTTTTGAAGTCAAAATTTTTAGACATTTTTAAAATCCAAAGTAAATCTCTAGATTTCTTTGACTAATTGCTTCCATAACAGAAAAAGCTTTCAGTTGGAGTACTCAATTGTTTTAAAACATAGCGCATCAGCAACATTTTCAAAGTTTTCTTGGAAATTTTCCATTCCAAAATATCTATTAAATATCTTTACGCAGTTGGCAGTCAACTCTATTATTCTTTTCCACCAAAAACCAAGGAAGCTGCCCAAGTCCTGAACCTGTGCCTGGCCGCTGTGATGGACTGGATGAGGGCTAACAAACTGAAGCTTAATCCAGACAAGACAGAGGTCCTCCTGGTCAATCGCGAAGCTAATCGGGCATAGGGTGGCAAGCTGTGCTCGATGGGGTTACACTCCCACTGAGGATACAGGTCAGCAGTCTGGGGGTCCTTCTGAATTCAGGACTGACACTTGATGCTCTGGTGTCGGCGGTGGCCAGGAGGGCCTCTGCACAGTTAAAACTTGTGTGCCAGCTGCGACCGTAACTCGAGAATCCTGACTCGGTCACGGTGGTTCACGCCTTAGTTACATCCAGGCTGGATTACTGCAATGCACTCTATGTGGGGCTGCCTTTGAAGATGGCGGGGAAACTGCAACTGGTGCAAAGATCGGCGGCCAGGTTGGTAACCAGAGCTAATTATAGGGAGCAGGTGATGCCCCCAGTAGAACAGCTCCACTGGTTGTCAATAAGCTTCCATTCCCAATTCAAAGTGCAAGTCATCACCTACAAAGCCTTAAACTGCTTGGACCCTGCTTATCTTCGTGACTCCATCCCTCTCATGTTCTTGCGTGAGCATTAAGATCAGCCGGGGAGGCCTTCCTAATGGTCCCGCCACCTGAACATTAGGAAGAACTTCCTGTGAGAGCTGTTTAGCAGTGGAACTCTGCCCCAGACTGTGGTGGAAGCTCCTTCTTTGGAGGCTTTTAAACAGAAGCTGGATGGCCATCTGTCTGGAGTGCTTTGAATGCGATTTTCCTACTTCTTGGCAGGGGGTTGGACTGGGTGGCCCATGAGATCTCTTCCAACTCAATGATTCTATTATTCTATGATAGTTGGGTTTGGATTAAGACACAAGGCTTATGGACAGGAATTCTGACTTTAAAATGCCTTTAACCTTTCCTTAAGTTCAGAGCCACAAGATTTGTTGGATTGCATTTCCCACTATCCCCAATCCGCATAGCTGATAATAAAAATTGATGCAAGTTGTTGTGCAATAACATCTGAGGACCCAAACTGGATGAAAACTAAAGCATACTGACCACTATATAGACAAATTATAGTTGGCCCACTATATCCACAGATTCAATGGCCCATTGAAACAACCATAAGGCTGAGGTGGCTCTGAATGAAAATGAATTTGACAACCCTGCCTTAATATGAAGGCCAAAATACAACTTTAAGTCCCAGTTAGAGGAGACTCGTTCATTCATCTGCTGAATGGCAAATCAACATTGATGAAAATTCCACTAATTCAGCTGATCTACTTGGAATGAGCAATTGGATATAGGATGACAATTCTTTATACCAAATTGGCATTGATTTCTCCTAGCCCCTTTTAAATTTTCTTCACTTTCTTTGTACTTTCATAACAAGCAACTCATTATGTTTGGGAACTATGTATAACTCTTAAAGTTGCTTAACAGATAACTTTCAAGACATAGAAGTCAACATTTTTCAGTGACAGAGAGGGATGGGTGGGAAAGCATGAGAAAAGACAGAACACTTAATGTTATCATCATCAAGTATATAACCGAGGTAAAGATTTTTCTACTGTAAAAACAAAACCTGAAAACTTTTCAACAACTTTGGGGAAATGGAAATCTCCAGAACATTTCGAGATTTTATGATCTTTGCAAATGCATGACCTTGTTAGAAGTCACAACCTTTTGAAAAATAATGTCAACCTCTTGGTAAAAGCATGACCACTTAAGAGTCATAACCTTTTGGGAAAATGGCATTCACCAGCATTCATGCAAGACAACTAGGTTTATCAGCTATTAAACCAATGTACCTAGGTATATCTTTGAACTATCAGGGACAATGATATGCCAATGCACAAAACATATACAAACATATATAGCAGTGTTTCAGAAGTCTTCTTTTTGATTGCCCAAAAACATCTACTCTCCCTTAAAATATATTTGCCTTTAAATCATGCTATCAAGAGACAAAAATAAGCAGACTTCTTTAAAAGTAACATGGTTGGTTTACTCACAAACTTCATGTATTCAGCATACAGGTACATTGCTTATCAATCCAGTTACAAAGAGGATGTGAAGTAGTTTCTCAGTGTAGGTAACACAGGACATCTTTCTTAGAATCCATAGTCCAAAGCATCTCTCTGTTCTGAGAATCTAATAGAGTCTCTGTCTAGTCTGAAAGTGCAACGGAGTCTAATGGATTCTGTATATCAATGTCCCTACTGAAGTCTCTAAATCATACTTCTCTACTGAAGTCTAAACTGTACTGTTCCTGCAGTCTTCTAAAGGTACATCAAGATCTAAAATGGAGTCTGAGTCCTGAACAAGCCCAGTTCTGATAACATGATCTGCAGCCCCTCCCACAAAAAGTTAAAGAAAACTGCAAACCAATACACATACATGCAATACAGTAAGCAATTACATACATAACAAATAACTAGTGGAGACCTGAGAAGGTTGCTATTTCCAACAACAGCCATTAACAGCAGACACATCTTGGAAACATGCCCACTGTAACTATAAGTCAATACAGTGATCAAAAGCTAGAGCTGTTAATCCACCAATGCTACAGATAAGAACTAAGACTTCTGAACTAGAAGCCTGCTTCTTCAGAGCTTAAAATCACAACATCACTTTCCTCCATTCATTTCTACTGGCCCAGGAGTATGTCACAAAATCACTGGTTCACTGTGTATGAATGCCTAGACTATAGGCCATTCACCTACAAATACAAAACAATATAGAAGTACTACATAAAACAATTGTCATATGGATCTTGCCTAGTACAATTCAGTATCATTAAAACACAATATAACACATGTGTTAAATTCAAGGCCCACAGGTCGAATTTGGCTCACCATGTCATTTTACGTGACCCTCCTCTAGATGCTGGACTACAACTCCTTTATTCCTCATCAGCAGACATCATGACTGCAGTTGACAAGAGTTGTGATGCAGTAACATCTGGAAAGCTGCAGATTGTTTTGTTTAGTCAGGATAGTGGGGTCTGATTTTAGTATGACTTTAAAATGTCCTTTCCCAACCTCAGAGCCACAAGTGCTGCTGGGTTGCAATTCTCATCCCCAGTCCACACGGCGGATAAGAAAAAGTGATGAGAGATATCATTCAACATCTGTGGACCCAAAACTAAAAACAGCACTGACCACTATGTAAAACAATTGTAGCTGGCCCTATGTATCAGCAGATTCTCCATCCTTTGAAGGCAACCATAAGACTGATGTGGCTCTCGATGAGAATGAGTTTGACACCCCTTATATAAGGTAAAATTCAATTAGCATATCCACAGCAATCAACTGTGATATCAGTAATAAATTTAGCTCACATTTTCATTTTCAACACTGAATCACCCAGCTTTCTCAACCACTAGCAATGTTTGTCTGGGATTCTGGAAACTGAACTCCAAATAACACCTGAGGAACAGAGATTGAGTATCAAAGCTCAAGCACGAGAAGTTCCAATCTGCATACATACCGAGTGTGCTTTGATAGGATGTCCCAAAGGTGCTTTTTCTCCCTCAGTCAACACAGAGACCATGAGCCCCTTGGTGTAGATCTAGTCCTTTGCAGCTCAGCTGAGTATTCACACAGTCCACGACCTAAGGGTTCATAATGATTATTTTAAAATATGCAAGTGTGCAGATTTGGATTAATAAGAGTAAAAAAAAAGCTGGGAAAGATGTATGGCCATTGGTGTTACCAACCCAAATGTGGAAAGGTACATACTCCCTACCATATGCTATTCCTCCTGGCAAGTGTTTCCTTCTTGCTGGCTTCTAATATAAGAATCCTAACATCCTGCAAGTGTTGATAAAGATTTACTTGATAAAGAAAAAATAAGCAGACAAATGCAAGAAAATCATTTAGTTCATGGGTAGACTGAACATGATGATTTCGAGAACTTTGAGATTATTGGGTTGTTGTAGGTTTTTTCGGGCTATATGGCCATGTTCTAGAGACATTCTCTCCTGATGTTTCGCCTGCATCTATGGCAAGCATCCTACCTCTGAGGATGCTTGTCATAGATGCAGGCAAAACGTCAGGAGAGAATGTTTCTAGAACATGGCCATATAGCCCAAAAAAACTTACAACAATCCAGGGATTTTGGCCATGAAAGCCTTCGACAATACATTTGAGATTATTACTTCCATACTCCTTAACTATTGACCGGAGGTGACTGGAGCTGTAATGAAAGAGTCAGGAGGTGGCTCACTCTGGTTTAAACTATGGCAAGCAAATCAGTAATGTTATGGCATGGGGCATTATTTCTCACTCTCACTAACTTACATGCACCCCTACCTCAAGATGATTTTTGGATTATGTGGAGCACCCAGAAGTACAGGCAGTTCCCTCAGTATTATCCCGACGCCTTTAAAATATACTTTAAGCTGTTTTTGTCTATTTTTAATCCATTGCTTCCATGTTTTAGTGTTCAAGATATTAAAATTTTAGTTTGTTCTTATTTTCAGTTGAGTAAGCAACTCAGAAAACTATCATTTTTAAACAGAGTGGACATGTGTATATCTGTCAATTTGTGATTATCCCACTAATTGTAAAGGTTTTCTCAAACAAGGAACACTCAGAGGTGATGTTGAAGGTCCTTCTTTTAAAGTATAGCCTACAGCATTACATATCAATTGCAGGTCTCCCATCCAAGTACTAACCAGGGCTGACCCTGCTTAGCTTTCAAGATCAGACAGTATCTGGTGCCATTAGGGTACTTTGGCCTTTGACAGACCAAACTCTAAAAGAATAAGGTGGTCCATAACTAAATTATAGGGATAAACCTAAAAGTGCATTGTGCTTTTTAAAAACAAACAAACATATGTATACAAACAAAAGGGATGGAGAGTTCTTATGGCACAGTGTCTGGTTGCATACTGTCAGTTACATGACAAAGCAGAAGAAAAACAACACAGGGCCGTGAGGCCTAGATGTCATCAATGCTGTAATCCCTTCAGATCAACTCTTATTAAGACCGTGGATTCAACAGTGCTACACAGAGAGCCAATCCATCACAAAAAGGGGATAAAAGTGACAGCTGCGTATGATTTGGTGTTCACACTGAGTTCCAGAACTGGAAAGGCTTCACTTGGATGTTGAAAGCCCTGTGCTTTCCAGATCCCATTAATATGGATTGCTAATGATGACAACGGCAAAACCAAGAATATCATATGAGTGCAATGCATGTATCTGTTGCAACATGGCACCAGTACATCTGTGAAAGTGACCTACAAATTATGGTAATTATGTGCAGCTAATATATGCAAGTTACTCCAACCCTCTGGCTCCCGATAAATCTGAAAAGAAGCCCAGCCCCTCCTTAATGTGTGACACAAATTGCTAAGCATTCAAATCAACTGCCCGCCCCAAGACTACCCAGCATGGGATGGGAAAGAGCAGTCAGGATGCAAGGCCAACTGGGAAAAGGAATGCCAGTTGGAAAGTGCAGAGAAACATGGCACTAATATCTAAAGCAGTGTTTCTCAGCCTTCCTAATGCCACAACCCTTTAATACAGTTCCTCGTGTTGTGGTGACCCCCAAATTATAAAATTATTTTTGTTGCTACTTCACAACTGTAATATTGCTACGATTATTAATCGTAATGTAAATATCTGATATGCAGGACGCATATTTATTCACTGGACCAAATTCGGCACAAATACCCAATACATCCAAATTTGAATACTGGTGGGGTTGCGGGGGATTGATTTTGTCATTTGGGAGTTGTCATTACTGGGATGTATAGGTAAAGGTAAAGGTAGTCCCCTGACATTAAGTCCAGTCATGTCTGACTCTGGGGTGTGGTGCTCATCTCCATTTCTAAGCCGAAGAGCCAGCGTTGTCCGTAGACACCTCCAAGGTCATGTGGCTGGCATGACTGCATGGAGCGTATAGTCACCTACAAACAAAGAGCATTTCAAACCCCAGCAACGATAGAATTGGGCCAAATGTTGCACACAGAACCCCCATGATCAACAGAAAATCCTGTATTTTCTGATGGTCTTTGGTGACCCCCCCCCCCCCGGGTCTCGACTCCCAGGTTGAAAAACACTGATCTAAAGGAAGATGAACCTGAACACCTTCCTTAAGAGATAAGTGTTAAGCTTTGTATGTAGAAGTCCTAAGTAATACAGCAGGGCAACCACTGAAGAAAAAAGCCTCCAGTAACTTTGGAATAAATCTGTGATTCTCCAGGATATTCAAAGAATTTAAAGGGTAGATATCCCACTGGACTCCAAAGCCATATTGGAAGAGACAGAGCATCAATTGTTTTAATCGGACTGCACAAAGAGTGCAAACATTCTTCTCAACATATAGCCCGCCCTTCTCACCCCAATTGTGGACTCAAGGCAGCTTACAGACCATGGCATTCAATGCCGCACTACACGTATAATAATAAACATGATATATCAGTTTAAACAATTAGCATATCAATGTAAACATACAATAAAAATATGACATATCATGTGAACAATTCAAATGTAAATACAATAAAAAGCTTAAAAGTAAAGATTCAACCCAAACCAAAGTGTGCTGATGACGTATCAATTAAGCAATAACTACACAATTCAATGTGGACAATTTCAACAGAAAGGAAGAAACCATGAAAATGAACAAAATCTGGCTACCAGTATTTAAAAACTCAAAATTACAACAGCAAAACAACAGAGAGTAAACAATCAGGCACATCAAATCACCTCTCAAAAAAAAAATTCCCCAGGCACTTCCAAGCCATTAAATGCTAATCAAGGTGGTCAGTTGAAACATTCACACCCCGGGTCTCGACTCCCAGGTTGAAAAACACTGATCTAAAGGAAGATGAACCTGAACACCTTCCTTAAGAGATAAGTGTTAAGCTTTGTATGTAGAAGTCCTAAGTAATACAGCAGGGCAACCACTGAAGAAAAAAGCCTCCAGTAACTTTGGAATAAATCTGTGATTCTCCAGGATATTCAAAGAATTTAAAGGGTAGATATCCCACTGGACTCCAAAGCCATATTGGAAGAGACAGAGCATCAATTGTTTTAATCGGACTGCACAAAGAGTGCAAACATTCTTCTCAATGGTAGCCGTAAAAGGAAACAGCTTCCAGTTAATGTTTGCTTAACCAGTGCTCACAACAATTGCTAGCCATTTTTCATTGAACAAGCAGTCTTCTATGACTCTCTAGAAAAAATGATTAACTTGCACTAAATTTTCTGAATCAACCATCATTATATATACAACTTTAAATAAACCATAGCCAGTCTTTTTAAAAAGAGCAGCACTTCCTAATAATAGAAGTCTTAACTCCCTTCAGTAAAAGAGCATCCTTCCAAATACAACTGATAGAATCAAGATATAGTTTTCTAGGATCTACAGAGATACTCGCAGGAAGCGAGAGTCAAAAACTGGCAGGCTAAAACCCGGAACGTCAAGCTATGGCTGATACCAAATGAGAGACTCCTCCTTAGGCACATAGAAGACTGGGCAACTTGGAAGGTGCTAAACAGACTGCGCTCTGGCACCACGAGATGCAGAGCCAACCTTAAGAAATGGGGCCACAAAGTGAAGTCCATGACATGTGCGTGTGGAGAAGAGCAAACCACAGACCACCTATTACAGTGCACCCTGAGCCCTGCCACATACACAATGAAGGACCTTCTTATAGCAAACCAGAGGCACTCCAAGTGGCCAGGTACTGTTCAAAGGACATTTAATATAACGCCAAGCTTTTGAAACTTTGTGTTTTTAAAATACATTACAACTTTTCCCTTGGATCACTTCTGATACGATAAATATATAACTGATAGAATTTTCCATTGTTTTTTTTTTAAAAAAAGAATAGAAAGCTATTACTTACATTTTAATCACAATTGTTATGGGTTACAATTCATGAATCTGCCTATCCCTGACATTATTTAGAAAGGCAGCAGTTGAGAAACAAAGGAATATGCTGCATGAATGAAGTATTTAGGATATTAGAAAGGTGGAACTTTTTCCCAAAATAAAAAGTATTACTCCATGAAACACACCTCTGAACTCAGAACTCACATAAACACTAAATCCCTTGGGGGCAGGGCGTTATGCTTTTTTAAAAGACTGCCTCCACACCCTTCAGATAGGAAGAGAATATGAATAATGACTGGAAAAGCAAACCACACTGGAATGTGGCATTTTGTCGGCACGTTTCCTACCCAGCCAATTAAAGGGGGGAGGGAGGGAAGAAACGTTTTCAACAGTTAGGGAAATCCCACTCCTTGGTTCACTTGAGCAGCAAAACAAAGTATATTTTTACCATTATCCCTGTGTTACAAAGCACCAAGTTTTCCATGAAAACCAGAGGAATGCTGTCCTTACACCCTTATAACCATGAATCAATACTAGAGCCTAATACACTGATTCCTTCTACTGATAAAGAAGCTCATTTGGGCTGAGGAATGGCTTGGCCTTCCAGGTATTTTGGATGACAGTTTCTACAATCTGTCCTTTAACCAAAGGGCCAAAGAGAACTTGACACCAAAACATCTGGATGGCCAAATATTTCTCAGGCCTGGTCTATATGCTTCCAGTATACTTTTACTCCAAAACAACAAGCATTAACGTAGATGCCAA